CATTTAAAACAGTTAAAAATTGATAAAATCAACATTAGTCAAAAGCAAAAAGCCGCACTGCTTGGATCTGCACTCATATTACGAAAATACATTACGACGTCCTAGGCCCCTGGGTGGGGCCCGACTAGTAATCAATGCCAAATCCGGTGAAACAACTGGTCGCTGTGATACAATTATATAATAATACAGTCTTAATAAATTATTGACAGTGTTGAGGGAATTATCACCAAATGCTTTGATTTTTCATTTGTTATCTACTGAAACAAGAATATAAAACTATATGGAGTGGTCCTCTTCAGTTACTATTTCACCATGTATATACAGTTATCAACATTCTATGTAGCATATATAATCAAGTTATCTACATTATTTTCTTCAAAAAATAGGAATTATAGAAAAAATAAGATACATTTCTTTGACACATCTAAAAATCATTCATCAACCAACCCAACCCTTGAGAAGATATGAAAAGTTGAGAAAAAACAAAAATATAGAAAAACTTAAAAAATAAGCCAAGAAATATAGCTATTCCAGCTATATGATTAAAAACAGCAGGCTGAACATTTGCTGCAGTAAAATCAGAAGATAATATTAAAAGCCTGAAAGAACCAGTCTTAACTGTATCTGTAAAACATAATTATGAGTAGAAGGTGGCCTGATTTCTGTAGGAAGTGTTCTATGATCATGGGGTGTTAAAAATATTCTGTACTGAGTAATCACCAGTGTAATATTTGTAACTAATATAGGGTAGTATCATAACGATCACTAATAATAAAAAATGCAATAATTTTGTTGGCATATTTTATAGATTAAGCACTAGAGCACTATTATATACAAAAGTGGTCCATGATTTTTAGTATCACACTATTCATTTTCAGAATTTCCTGTTGCTCATTAACTTAAACCTATATATTTTGTCTTGAAATGGAGGGCATCCAGCACCAGGAATAACAAATTGATGATTAGAGTCAAAGGCAGCAGGCTATCCCAAAGACATTAAAGCCTGTGGTGAGAAGTTCAAAAAATGGACTAAAGAGTAACAGAAAATGAAAAACCAAAAGGAACATCAGAAACCAAAGGAAAGATTGAGCTATAACATTGCCCCAAAGCTTATTTTGGGGTACAAAAATTGAAATAGCACATTAAAGAACAAATTGCAGCAGAGAAAAGTAAGGGTGATAGTTGGGATACCCAAGGAGTGTCTGTATCTATCTTCAACCTCCAGAGCAATTTGTATGCTAGTTCTGGTAGAGAAATCAAGCAGAATTTATAGCCCATTTCTACTCTGGAGAAAAACAGCCAAAGTGAGCTTCCTGCATCTAGCAACTGGCTGATTTCTAAAAAGAGTCTGATAAAGGAATCTAATAGAAACTTTTTTGTGTATATTTATATTGGAATTACAGGTTTAGTTTTAACTTATTGTTGTTATTAATATGTGGTCTCTAAGAATCAGCAATGATTTGATGGCACATAATCAATTAATCCTTTTGTTGATTTGGTTTTCTCTTATTATTGGTAGTTTATTGTATTACTTGAAATGTTATAGGGGAAAGAACTTTCTTAAGGCAATAGTAGAGAACTAGCAAACAAAATAACAAGAGTAAATAGCTTCATATTTATTTTATTTATTCAATAGATTTGACCTATGCTCTGTATTTTTCCTAAACAGATATGTTTCTGGCTTCCTTAATAAATTTCTCTGTGGACTGCTAATGCGAGTAATTAATGCCAGCTTGTTATAAAACAAACACTTTTTGCACCAAAAGGAATGATTTTTCCAGTTTTTTTATGGATACTCACTAGAATTGATACTAGAATCACTATAGATCTGGGTCTGGGAAGAATTTAGTTATAATATATACAGATGTTACCATCTTCTGGTATGTATGTATGAATGCCAATTTTGAATAATCTTGTCCTGGAAACTTGGATCAGATTAGGTTTTTCTTTCAGCACGTAGTGATTATTATGGTTTATTTTTTTTAAAAAAAATTGTTGTTAACTTTTATTATTTCCTTCCAACATACTAATACATAACCCAAGTACATTGTTCCACCATTGTATAGTGTGGCTTAAGGTTTTATGCCATGATTTGATATTAACAGACATAGCTCAACAGACACCAGAATACAGTCTGGATATAGGTTAACTGAGAAAAGTACATAATCTTATGGTTGGTCATTAATGACATATAGTTTGATGCAGCCTTTCCTCATATGATGTCCTTTTCATGTTAGGATTACACATTCTACTTGCAAAAGCAATGATATCTCTGAAATGCAGACTACTAGCATATTAGTGCATTGTAAAACACATGTGCCAAAGAATGAAATAAACACTATCTGTCTGCCACTTTTCATATTCACCGGCTTTTGGCAGCTTATTCTACCACCGAAAAAATAGTCATCTTTTAAAAACCACATGGATCTTGTTTAAAAGGCAGTTACTCTTGCTTAAAAGCCATGTGCACCTAGTCTAAAAGATAACAGGGGGATCCATGATACCACGGTGCTTAAAAATGCAGATCGTACAACAATGAAATGAGTTAATAAACTATGCTAACTGGCAATAAGCACAAGCAGTAAACTGAAAGGGCCTCAGAATATCTTTCCCCAGTAGCAAATTATGCACAAATCAATTCTCATAATGGCTGCAAATCCTGGAGTTGCCAGATGATAAATCAGAGTGGGAATTTGTAGCCCTACCCGATCTCAAACTGCTTGAACTTAGGCAACTGTCAGAAAATATTAATAGCCTCAGTTCCTTTTATTAAGTTGTTAGTACAACAGACCCACCTCGGCAGATGGTTCCATTCCCCACATATCCAGGTTTGCAGGTGCAGCGGTGTCCTCTGATTGTATTGGTACAGATTGCATTCTCATCACAGTTGTGCTGTCCAGTGTCACATTCATCACGCTCTATAGGGGGAAAAAAACAATGCAAGAAAATGTAAGGGAGAGGAAAGGTAGAATAAATTTTCAGCGTGCTGATCTGACATTTCAAAAGTCATTTATAACTAATGACTCTACTGCTACGACAGCTGAACAGCACAAAAGAGACATTCAGTGGAGAAATCTGACATCAAGTCCATTTCAGGTTATGATTTATACCTTGCCATATCATGTATTTGAGATATGGGGAAAGACACTACCTGAGATAAAAGTATTAGCAAAGTAAAAGTGAGTAAAGCAAAATGTTGAATACTGAATCATTTCCAAAGCATCATTCATCATGTTTGTTCTCATGCTACATGTTACTCATTAGATCACCTCTTTTATCTATCTTTGGAACATAGAACCTGGTAGAGTGGCCTCCATTTTAAGTAGCATTATTGTATTTGATTCAATACATTAGGAATACAAATATGTTTCCTGAAGCTCAGATAGGACCAACTATGCCAAAGGGGTTTAAAGATAAAATAGGGAAGAGAAATATCTTCTCACTCTACTTCAAGGTCTATGGAGATTCTCAATCATCCAGATATGAGTCCCAAAGATGCTTTTTCAAGGGGCAACTGGACTTTCTGTTTTTTTTTTCCTTTGAAGACGTTTCGCTTCTCATCCAAGAAATTTCTTCAGCTCAAGAAGCTTCTTGAATGAGAAGCAAAACATCTTCAAAGAAAAACCAGAAAAACAAGTTGCCTCTTGAAAAAGCACCTTTGAGACTTCATCTCAAGATAAATTTTCCTAAACTGGCTAGTATAACATACAGTATATCTATCTTTTTTAATTACGTCAACCATAATTTTTTAATGGGGGATATCAGCTTGTATGTTACTTTAAAGACATACTGTATCTAACAGCTTTATTTATTTTGCACCCTAATAAAAATGCAACTGTAGTATATTTAAACTGGTATCACAGAAAGGGAGTTTATTCTGCTCTTTTCTCTACTGTGATTCCAAACTCCAGTGAATCTCCTTTGACAACAAGTTGTGTTGTCAAAAATGAATCCATTCATTTCATGGCCTATTTTTGAATGTATATTTATTGGTGCTGAAGGGCCAACTGACAGCAAGGAAAACAAATGAAAACACACTCTTGGCATCGTACTTGTAGGAGTAACCATTTTTTATGTCTTTAAAGTATAAGTATAATCTTTATTGTCATTGTACTTAAATACAACGAAATTGGGTTTTTTGCCTAACTTTACTGTGGCATCAGGAGATCAAAGCCGCAGCGACTAAGCATGCCGCCATCTTGGGAGGGGGGGCAGATAGGTAGCTTTACTTGAAACCTAAAAACCAAATCATTATTGCTTCATTTCTAATAAAACAACAATTACCAATTTTATTTATTTACAGCTGGACTAAATATCCACTTGTTTATTTATACAGTATTTTATATACCAATTTCATGGACTCAAGGTGGTTTTTAAGAAACACATTAATCCAAATATACAGACCTTAATAGAAAAAGGTGATAATAATTTGCTAACTAAATAATATCTTATGGCAGCCCTAATACTATTAGCACTTAATGGTCTACAGAATAGCCAGATTTTAAGCATTTCCTAAAAGCCAGGAGGTTAGGAATACCTTTGAAACACAAACTGTTCCAAAGCATGAGGACAGCAATTAAAAGGGTGTATTGCAGGTCTCTTCATGGTTTAAGGAGTTGGGATTCTTAGCAAATCTCTATGCTAGAATTCATAGGGTGAGCAAATCTTAATGGGAGAGGTGGTCTGGCTAGTACCAAGAGGCAAGCCATATAGGGCAGAGATGTCAAACTCAAGGCCCATGAGCCAGATCTGGCCCACAGGGCCACCCTGGAAACAGTGAAGGGCCGGCCTGTGGTGCCTCATGGCCCTTCCGAGATCTATTTTCACTGACAGAGGCCATCCCAGTTGAAAACAGAGCTTGTGAGGGCCACACACAGCCTCCCAGCTCCATTTTTGTTGGCAGAGGGTTGTAGGAGGCTGTCACAACCAGAAGTGGAGCTTGGAAGCCCATTTTTGCTGGTAGAGTGCTTGGGCCACCACATACACCCTGACATGAGTGATGTCAAGCTAGCCATGCTTATCCTGGCCATGCCCACCCCGCCCCCCTGAGGTCAAATGGGGGCCAAACGGATATGGTCCTCAATGAAATCAAATTTGACACCCCTGATATAGGGCTTTAAATACTATACCCATAGTTTTGAATTGGATCCAGAAGCGACTTAGTAACCAGTACAGCAATCATAGCTTGGGTTTTACATCTTCTATTGCTAGTTAGCAGACTGTCCACTGTGCTTTGAACCAACTGAAGCTCCTAAGTTATCTTCAAAGGTACATTACGTGTTATGTGTCATGGCAGTCTAGACATTCAGTGATCAGGGCATGAGCCAATTGTCAGAACCACACTTCTCATGACTTAACAGCACTTTAAAAAGTGGTCAGCAAGCAAAATGTGTTACAAATCTCATACTGATCAAGACTTAATACTGTAGTATTCCTATAGCTAAGCCTATTGCCTTTTAAAATGCATCTGCAGAACAATTATTATCTCAAAGCTAGTGGCCGTTATTGCTGACTTCCTGTTGAGGGCAGTTACAGTTTCCTCTAGTACCTCACATTGCTTTGACTTTCATTTAGATTATGAATATCCATTTATTATGTGAATACTGTCAGCTTGGTAAGGATTCAGCAGATAGTAGCCAAGGTTTTAGAATATACATTATACAAGGGAGAGAATAAATGGCTTCAACTTTCCAACTCGGGAAAGAAGATTAAGTGGAGCTATTAGAACAGGTTTAAAACTATATATATCAAAATGCCTATCACCAAGAAGATATATTTTTTTCTCCCTTGTCACTACAAGAGCAACATGACACACCCAAACTGAGGAATAAAACTAGAGAAGAAGCAGGCCGGATAAATGAAAGCAAGCCTCAAAATTGTACCCCATGGACTAAGCACCAAGTGGATGTGGAAACTGATAGGATCTTTATTAACAGAGATTATTAGAGAGAGGCTTAGGGTATTTCTGACTTTAGATATGATACTGCAACTAAATGTTACAGCAGGCCTCTAAAGGGAAGAGGAAAGTGTCTCATCCAATTGTGTATTATGACTCAATTGCCATAGGAAATTTGAAAGGGTACATTATGAGATGGCAACCAAAATTATTTTCAGATCTGTAGTGCCAAAAGCGTTAGATAAAAAGTATGCAATTCACCATTCCTCTTGAGGGCACTTGTGGGCACTTAAGCAGCAAATTTCATTTACTTTGCAATCAGTTCTTTTATATGTCTATCAATGCCCAGTTTAATACAGCAGTTATACTGTACATTTGGGGCATTCTACAGTCACGGTCTATCTGGATTACTTTTCATCAGAGGAGGAAAAGGCAAATGTCCAGCAATCTCTAGCTAACTTAAAACAAACAGCATGAAAGCGGACAATCTAGTTCTGGCTTTCACCACCCAGTGCAGCAAATCATGGGTGAGATCATTGATGTACTACATAATTTTCTCCCTCATCTTCTAAAAATGTCTCCAATTTTCTCACTATTATGGCCAAGCCAGGAAATCAGAAGAGCTGCATGCATAGAATTGTTCATCTATTCAGTTAAGCTGAGACCCTTTAAGTAGACAAGACTAGTTGAGGAAAGGACTCCAGTGGAAGAAAAGTGTGGGGCCTTCAATGGTACAACAATTCTAGTAGCAACAGGGAAGAAAGGTATTTCAAGGAATCCAAGAATGACTCTTCCAAATTAAGACTGTACAGATGTCTCTGTTCATTTGAATCACAGATCGCTAGGCTTTGGCAAAAGTATATATGCATACCGTTATATATGAATATAACAGTATATTGAATAATGAATATGAATACTGTCAGAACCACAAACTTGTCTTGGGTTGTTCATTTTGTTAATCAGAACAGCAGGTAATATGTTTTAAACTGCCCATCAGCTCTTCCTTCTCACCCGTTAATTAAAAAAGAATCCACTTTTTTGCTCAAGGCACGAGGAAAGCCAATATCAAAAATCTAGTCACCTTGCTCAGTCTTTTCACCTTTTCTCATTTCTTATGCTCTCATTTGTTAGACCTGTCCACCTTATATCTGCTCTCCCCAATTTTTTTTCCAAAAGAGGATTAGCAATGCATTTGCTTCAGACAGAAATGAAATTATTCCCCTCTAGGAAACTCAATTCTTGCTTTCTCCTTACTTCTTCTCTCTATTTTGGGCTATGCTATCTTCTTTTCTACTTTTCATCTCCACCCATAACTTACGTCACTCAGATGAATGGCAGAAAGGTAGAACCTTTCTAACTAGTTTTTTTGCTAATTCCAGAGAAAAATCTCTTCGACTCACCTGAAGTCAGAGCCTGAAAATGGACAATGTGTTCCTCAAACAAGGATCTTCCACTGAAATGTAACCCTAGGATTTACTAAAACTTGTAAGAGCTGAACCAATCCCCTCCAGGATGTTGCTTTATTAGACTTTGAAAGCATAGTCTTCTTATAGCCCTTTAGTAGCTTGGATGTCTCCAAAAGACCATGGTTTCAATAAATCAATGGGCAAACTCAGCCAACAAGTAGTTTCAAAGTTGTTATTCAGGGACCATTTCCTTACCTTTCTTTCCTTCTAATTGTTGGATGATCTATCTAACACTGACCTTTGAGGGCCAGAATTCTAAACACAAGTTGTAAAAGTTACGCTTCACCTCTTCTATTTAATTATCTCTATTATCTCCCAATCAGATAAAATTTTATCTGTGAAAAAGGTAATATGTGCAGTAATTGTGTGTGTGTGTGTGTAATAATTAGCTATAAGTATAGCAGTATAGCATATATGTATATATATGCTATATATACATATGATAGAAAGATGATTGATGAATCAGTCTACATTTTTTTCATGAGTAAATCATTGTAAGGTAATCTATTTCAATGTTTTAAGATAATCTAAATGATATTAAAGTAGTCAATTTTAT